GATAACCGCTGATTATCCACGCTCTAAATAGACGCGATTAGCAATTGAACGACTGAGCACAGACTTTTTGTAGCCTGCAACGTGCCAAGTGTCATCGTTTTCCAACGATGCTTATCCACTTCCGTTTATCGTTCTCTCGTCACTCTCTGCAAATTATCGCCGCCCGACGGAAATTCGAAGATATTCTAGGAATCCCTGTTCGTCGATGAATCTTCGAATCCAGGGTAAAACTTGCCGAAGTTTACAGTTCACTTGGCACCGAATTCTGGTCCAGAGTTAAGAGGGCAACATAATTAGTCGTTAGCTTGCGTCAACTTGTGTCCCAGGACTGAAGATCGCCCCGCGATCTAAATTTATCCAAATATGATCGTCGCGAGAAGCTCTGTACACGAACGAAATTTGTCAAAATTATCCGTGATTTTCAAATTTGACAACTTCCTCCCCGAAGAAAATTTCCGTTTTCACGATCAAATTTACAGGATAAACAACAGACACGCCATCGACTTCTCGTTGCGCCAAACTAGCCATCCAACGAGACCTCAGTTTCGTTTAAGCTGGTTTCGTGATTAACACACTTGCCGCCGACTAATCGATACTTCAGTTATCCTAAACGTTACGTAATCATATAGCTGATGTAGGAAGAAAGATCGATTCGACTTACCATTTAAAGTTTGAATCGTTCGGGAGGAATCGAAGGGGGAGACGTCGAGGTTTCCGTTTCATGTTCACGATCAGAAGGACGAAGCTAAGTGGTGGTATGTGCAGTGTTAAAAGTATGACATAATGCAGCAAGTTTTGACGCCAGGATGTCTACGTGCACATGTCGCGGCCGTCGCTAGTTTTAGACACAAGCAGTGCCAACACTTGCACGAAACGTGGATTTTCAGCGAAACCGTGGGAACAACTAACACGGTTTTGCTGTTCTGTTAACTCGACGCAACGGAAGTAGACTCGATCCTCGAATTGCGCACGATTAACGATTAACAAAAAACGAAGTACAACAACAGTTTCCGTTTTTTTTTTTCTCATCGTTGTATTTCATTTCGAAGTGAAATTAGGATGGTAAAGTAGGTAGGTACATACTTGACGCTCGAAAGAGATGTTTCACCGGTGTGTTTGTCACTTTTTGACTTTTTTACAAACGTACGATACCAAGTATAGAAGATTTAAATCGTCATTACCGTTACTTCTTTATTATACCGTTATCGTGCAACGTACACGGTTATCAGTTAATCGTAATTAATATACTATCTCGAGAGGTGAGGTGCTAAGGCCGTTGTCAAACCTAACCTAACCTAAAAATCGACGGTTAGGTGTGTTCGAAAGTGACATATGAAACTGTCAAGGTCGATTAACTGTACCGAAAAGAAAAAAGAAAATGATCTGAACCCGATTAAACGAAGAGGTCGTTATTCTACGCAAGATTTTTTTTCTTTTTTTTTACAGACACCACCCACCCTTTTCGCCGAAAGGGCCATTTCTTTCGGTCGAAGTGTTCAGGTTTTGACAATGTCGCCGTTATTAGCGACACACTGGCACCGGTATTATTATCCACCCTCCTATTATACCGTTCGCTCTCTATTCTGGCTCCAACGTATATGGGTTAGGGCCAGCTCTAGCAACACCGTTTTTCACCCACGCACCGCGCCCGCGCCCGCTTCTTTTCCCTTGCCTCAAGAGGAACGCACACCACGCGTCCAAACGCGAGCGATCGCGTTTCGTGATGCATTTCTAATGCTTTGGATTTATGGGTCAATTAACGAGAACGAAGACGAGTTAACTCGTCGCTTGAAAATTTTAACGTCACTCTCTTTAGCTCGACTAGAAAATTT